CTACTTAAATAGGCAACCAAAAGTTGCAAGTATGGCTAGTCATACTCTCACTTGTAAAAGCCAGAGAGCTTAAATAGATAATCTTCTAGTTAGATTGCAAGTATGGCGGCTAGTGTAGAACTCTGGCAAACTACTTAAATAGACAACCAAAAGTTGTATATGTGGCTAGTTGTACCCTTATCATAATTGTAAATGTTGTTAATTATCTAATAAAAAGTCTTCAGATATAGAGATCACTTTAATACCAAAATATATATATATATATATAAAGTAAATATATAGTATATTATACAGGCTACATATAGCCACAGCTACATGTAAATTTTCCCAATATAATTAAAATTTTAGTTTATAAAGTTTATTAATAAATTTATTATTAGGATTATTTTTAATAATATACTATATATAGTACAACAAATTTTGCTAAAATTGCAATTTTAAAAAAAATTATTTCTTAACAATCTTATTAATAATATTAAAATAAATTAATTTTTGTAATACTATAGCATTTATCAGATTTTTTAATATAAAAAGTTTTTTAAAAAATAATTTTTTAGATTTTTTAAAATCTTTAATAAATATACACTAGTAGTACAAAAGCCTATCTCCTATCCATTAAATATAACTAAACTATAGTAAATCTAAACCTGAACTTGATTAAAGTTTAGTTCAATTTAGATTTATAAAAACACTACTTAATAATATACAATATTATTTGTATAATAATAATTTTAATTTTAATAGCATAATAAAAAATAACTTTTAATAAAGTGATATATAATTGACTATATAAAAAAACTAGTTTTAATAGATAGATACTGACTTGATTCAAGATTTGATCTTATACTTTATTGATAATTATGAAAAAAAGTAAAACATACTAGAAATTAGCATCTTATTAAAATAAAAACTAAATTTAATAATGAAATTTAAAATATAAATATATAACTACTAATACAAGATTCTGTAATAATTTTAGCAACAATTATTTTGCTATCAAGAGCTTGACAAATTAAGCAAGTTCTATTGCAAAGTCCTTTTGCTGGATTTAAGTTATGCAAAAGTATTTAGATATACCAACTTTTTTAACTTTAATCCATGATAACAAAATCACATGACCAAACCATCTAGCTCAAAAGACGTATCAAATATTGAGCCATTGACAACACAGCCTACAAGAACATTTTTTACAGGGGAATCTCTAAAATTCCTGGTCGGAATGCATCGGAATGCGTCGTGGTTAGGGCTAGGGTTAGCTATTCCGGTTAGCAGGAGCTATGGTAAAATTATCAGCTGGGCATTTTTTACTTAATGTTTCATTAGTAAAATTCTTAGTGATCTTGGGCAAAATTGATCGATTCCGGCCTATCCGGCCAATGTTCCGATGCATTCCGACCAGGAATTTTGGGGATCTCCCTGTATGAGTTTACAAGAACAGCACAATTCGAATCGATTCACTAGTAACTCTATTCCGAGAGCTATCTAAAAATACTGTATCAACTGTATGAACGTACCGAGGTAGAATACACAAACGTTCGATTACAAATTACATATATAATAAATAATCAATTATATTTATAATATTTATAATATTTTATCAGCTTATTCAAATAATTCTATAAGACCGCACAGAATAAATACGTAGATTTATTTATTATTAATAGCAATAGCTAATCTAAAACTATTACATTATTTTATTCAGTCGTCAAATGGATATTCAAAAGGTTCTGGTGGCGGCGCCTCTTCTTCTTCCGTCGCTTCGGTTGTTGCTAAGTGAATAAAAAAGTATTAACTTAAAAATAATTTTAGATGAAAAGACATTCTATTTTAACTTACCAACTGGTGTGCTTGGCGAAATTAATTCTTCTGGCTCACCAGGACGTCTATCTATCATCATCAAAATTCCACCGACCGTACCCTATGCATTGATCGTTCACATGTAAATCATCAATATATAAAAAATTGGTCATAACTTTTCAACATCATTTAATTTACCTTTTTTACAGGAACGTAGCGAGAATTCTCTGGAAACGAAATGTATTGTAATTGTGCTGGCAAAACGCGCGCCATATTTTCGAGAATTTCAAAAGATTCTTCTTTTTTCTTCTTCCCCTTTTTGTCATCCTTTACTTCGTCCTAAGCGACAATAATAGGCCTCAATAAAAGATAACAATATTAATCGTTATAAATAATGATATACAAACTTTTTCTTCTTCCTTTTTATGTTCTTCCTTATCCTGCATATGAAATAAATAAATAATAAATAAATTTGTTCATGTATATATATACATATATGTTGTAATGGCTCTCTTAAAGCACTTTTTTTTAAAAGTTGCATTATTAATTTCTTTAGTATTCACCATGTCCATCGCCTCTCCTTCATGAGTTCCTTTCTCCTTCTCAGATTTTTTTGCTCTAGCTTTTGCTTTTGCTGTTGTAGAAAGCACCGCAGTTGCTACCTTTTCTACAACGCTAGTGGATGGAGGTTTAGTTGTCGCAGGATAAGAAAAAAGTGAAGGCTTCGCGTTTGAGATGAACTCAAATTTGGGGATCTTTAATATATTTAAATTAGCATTGTTTTTTAGTGAATTCAGTAAACAAGGGGAAACAAAGAATGGAATTCATACCTTCAGCTCCTTATTCAAACCAATAATTGCAGTGGGTGATAAGGCTAAACTCAAGAAATGCGTCAATGGGAACCAATACCAAAATTGTGTAAATACGGCCATTCCCACAATAGCTGGCATGTTAGAGTGACCAGACCTCGACTGTAAGGATATAGTGGCATTTCGACCGCCTAAATTAAGTTATTACTATTAGTATCAGATAAACAGCAATATATAATATAAATATATTTTAATATTTATGCTACGTACCTGCATCAATAATTCCTTGTCCTAGAACAGCGCCGAATTTTGCCATTGCGTCTTCATGCTTGTCATTTATGATTTTTTCATATAATTTTCGCGTTAGAGTTACTTTGGGATTGGTTGCATCATTTTGTTGTATCAAAATCATAGCAAGTGAAATAAATGCTCCTTGTCGAACAAAATCAACAGGATCTTTAGTCATAGGTTCCAACAGCTCGATAGCTTCCTAATAAAATAACCATATATATAAATATACGTTTTTGGTTTAATTATTATTAGATAACGTACCATTAAGCCAGTTCCAGCACATGAGATTCCCAATGCTAATGTAGCACCATATCGCACATTTGGATTATAACTTTCCGACAGCAATTGTACTATTCGAGGAACCTGCTTTGGTGTTCTGAACAAAATAAATCCAAGTGCTGTTACAGCAGCTCGACGTACATCATCATTAACGTCACTAACAGCAACATGCAATAAATGTCGGATAGCTTTGTTATTTCCAGTACCACAGTATGCCATTGCAACTGTGTATATACCACCATAACGTAAAATTGGATCCTACAAATAAAAATTAATGCGAACCAGACACATCATGAGTTGTAATTATATAATGATCAATTATGAAATAGACAAAGCTTCTAACCTTGTCTCGACTGAGCTGTTCAATTAATACATCAGCAGTTTCTTCTTTACCATACATTATT